CCACCTAAGGCCATCTGCATACAGGGGCCACCTAAGGCCATCTGCATGTCAGATATCTACATCAAGATTTATAACAGTAGCAAAATTACAGTTATGAAGTAGTAACAGAAATAATTTTATAGTTGGGTGTCACCACAACATGAGGAACTCTATTAAAGGGTAGAGGCATTAGGAAACTTAAGAACCACTGTTCCGGAACCATAAATTCCAAATTAAATACTTTCTTTTCTAAGTTGCCTTGGTCATGGTGTTTTGTTCCAGTGATAGAAAAGTAACTAAGGCAAGACGTCATTTCAGGAGATTTAAGAAATGCTTCTTTTGAACAGAATTCATCTCAACCACGACAAGAGTGAAAATGAGTCAGATACTGTTTTATATAAAACAGTACTCTGTAAATACTAAAGGGATACTTATTTTTGAAAACAGTGGCTACTGAAGTCAGATTATCAAGGACAAAATGAAACTGATATTAAAGCAATTACAGTGCAGTTTGGGTCAATAAAATACATGTCAAGATTTGAGTTTTCCAGTTTCTTTTTAGCCTACATCTTTTCAGCTTTTGTCTTTAGAACTAAGTCATAATGAATCCAATCCACTTGCTAATTCAACATGGGATCTCCTTATCCTCTGAATCGTGCTCAATTTCTGTGTGTAAATGAGTCATGTGCAGAACATATATTCAGTATGTTAACTCCCTGGATCAAGACTAGTATGGCAGTAAATATTCACAGTACCCTTTGCACCCTCACAGAAGCATGGAAGACACTAACTTTCAGTGTGTGTTTGCCTTGGATCCTTACCAATGGAATAAAACAACTTTTATTTTTATTTTTTGAAGGCAGGGTCTACATAGTTCAGGGTGGCCAACATGCCAGGCTAAACTTTCTTTTCCTTCAGTGTTTCAAGCTTTATTTCAGTACAAATAAGATGTATGTGTATACTGTCAGTTCATTTTCTTTGCTGGAAGCCTGGGTTTGGACTTGGTGACCTTACTGATCAGCTATGCTGCTCTTCCCATGGGGGTCTAAAGGTTCTTGGAGTCAAGACTGAATAATCTCAGCACCTGAAATGACTTCTCAGCTGTTTTTCACAGAATGGGAATGTCACCTATATCTAAGTATAGGTGCTCTGAAACAAATGACCAAGTCTTCTCATACAGCAGGGTAAGCCGGACATACTACTTGCCTTGGCTTTGGCTTTCATGTGCTACGCTGTAGAGTTAACACAGGAGTAATTCTCCTTCTACAAAAGGAAAAAAGAAAAAGAAAACAAGAAGGAAGGAAAGAAGAAAGGGAAGGAGGGAGGGAGAGAGGGAGGGAGGGAAGGGAAATTCAAATGAGGTCAAACACAGTCCCTTCTCAGGACTATATGTCCACACGAGTCTCCTTCCTGGTTTATTTTAATAGGTTTAGTACTAGCTTTCAGTACCTAGATAGATTATCCAAAAATAACATCACTGAGTTTTACTTTCACTCACGAATACTCAAGGCACAAATACATCTTGTACACAAACAGAATACTCTCAGAATAATTCTCAGGACAACTGAGAATTTAACTTTTTATGGAATGTAGTAAAACATAAAACCATGTCATTCTTTCTACAAAGCAGACAGGATACCGAGACTAAAAACACAATGCTTGTTCCCTTTTGTAATGCATAATTCTGTCAGGAACTCTGCCTCTCCCTTTCAGCAGCATTTTGTCTGGGTAGACATGAACTGTGCCAAAGGCCTGGCTGTCCGGAGCTGTTTCAATAACTCCTTCAAGGTTGACGTGGTGCACACCAAAAGGATCCTCAGAGTAGCCACCATCATGTGTGTGACCAGCAAGGAAACACACCACACACTTGTGAGACCATATGACTGACAGAGCATCCGTGTAGTTCCAAGCCAGGCACACGTTGTCAGAGGCCTCTGGGTAAATGGGAAGATGGCCTGTTAAGGAAAAATTAGGAGCCAATTAAATCTCTTTCCATCAAGAAAAAAGACCAAAAGCTAGTATTCAGGAAAACCAAACCTAAGCACATGAAGACCGAGGTGACAATGTGCTCTGTAATCTCAGCATGTGGGAAGAGGCAGGAGGAGGGTCAGGAGTTCAAGGCCAGCCTCAGCTATAGAGCGGGCAATCTACAGCCATATCTTTGATACACGGAAAGACAGATAGGTAGATAGTTCAAATATAAGGTGGAAGATATATTTGTATAGGAAAATGATCTCTAAGGCCTTCACAATTCTAAAGACATCCTATGCAGGGACCCTGTAAAGGTCCAGGAGTCAGGCAGATTCTACGCCAGGATCCAGTCTCACTGATTTCTGGAAATAGGAATGTTACATATAAAGAAAGATGTAGCTAAAGAACAGCTTAGAAGCTGCCCAGGGGTACTTATAGAAAAATGTCACTGAACAAACACAGCTCAGGAGACTTTAAAGAACTTCTAGAGATCAAAGCTGACAGATCCAACTTGCAGCTGAGAAAACTGATTAAAGTGGGGAAGGTTGACCTTGGCCCCGAGGAGATATGTAGGCGCAGAAACAGGACTTTGAATTGTGGTGCCAATACATTTGCCAGCCTAAGAGTGTGCATGGGCCCAGAGTCTCTCTCGCAAGGCGAGTATCACAGCTCGCCTGTCTCGCTCCTTTCCAATCACTCAGCTCTGCTCTGCTGCGGCTCGTTTGCATCCTTACATTTAAACAAGTTCACTTAATTCCCACTCCTTTATGAGCAAGTAAAAAAGGGACTGGGTAAAAGACCCCTAAAGCAGGACATGTGCCCAAGCACTTACATGTATCTTTCCCTCCTTCCCCTTCTCTGACATGAGCTGTTACAAGGCAAAGAGCAGCTAAATAGGCAGTCAAATGGCAGCAGACATGCCCCTGTTCAATCAAGGATTTTCATTCATGATTTCAGGTGTGTGAGAAAAGTGCAGGTCACAGGTTTTGTTTGTCAGTGCTCACAATGTTCCTAAAACCCAGAGGCAGATGGCATCCCAACATCATGAGGGAGCAGGCACACCTTCCGAACTGCCTGCTATCTCTAATGGCAGTGTGTCTCAAAACTGATTCTGAATGAAAACTAGTTCCTGTGGAACTGTGGGACTGGCAGAAAACTGCAAGTGTGACTGTCACATCTCATACCAGCTCTGCTTCAGACGGCCAGCAGTGAACCAACCATGGTAATTTCACTGCTAGCCAGAGATGCTAAGGTTAAGACTTAGTGGAGCCCTAGTTTGTACATAATTTGATTCCAGTTGGGAAAAGTCCACTTTGAAACCTACAAGGGAAACAGAGACACTAGCAGATAGCAAGATGTTTTTGTTATTTTATAATTCTTTCCTGACTCATTTTTAAATGTTAAGATTTAGGTTTCAATGAAAACTAGTAAGTAGGGCTGGAAAGATGGCTCAGCAGTTAAGAGCACTGGCTGCTCTTCCAGAGGTTCTGGATTCAATTCCCAGCACCTACGTGTTAACTCACAATTGGCTGGAATTACAGAGGATATCTGACACCCTCTTCTGGCCTCCTCGGGGTACTGTAAGCACACAGTACACAAAGATATATTCAGACCAACATTCATACACTAACAGTTATTTATAATCTCATAAAAGTATAAGTATCTGTTTTACAGAAAGAAGGTATCAAAACACAAATATTACTATTCTTTCATGGATTAACTTCCTAATTTCTAAAATGCCCGTGTAACCAAAGGACAATTTACATACTTACTCACAATCACCACCTTCTCCTGGTTTGTGTCAGAGAATGTAAGAACTTCGTTCAACCAGTTCAGCTGTTCTTGGCTGAATCCTCCATTAAACTGGACATACTGGGGCTCAGAAAGTCCTGAATGAATTCATCAAGTTAGACCTGTAGCACGTCATCCTCCCCCTCATTTGGGCATTCAAGTTTAGCTAATGCAAGGATACACTCTCTTTAGGGATCAGCATCTTAAGAATGTAGAGTAATACACAGATACAGTGATGTAAATTCTAGTCTCGGCTTCCTGCGTATTTCACTCGCTTTCCACTATGCTCCAAACACAACCTCCTTTCTGTCCTCCGAGCCCTACTACATATCCTTGTCCCCGTTACCTTCACCCAGTTGACCCTGTGCTGTGACACTTGGAGCCTTTGGATCTGTTTCCTGTGCCTGCCAGCTCCCTACCCAACTCTTTCTAAGTGTAGCTCCTGTCATCTGGACAACAGCTTGAATTCTTGGGTCCTTGAGCGCTTGTGTCTGCTCACCTGATCTAAAACAGCGTGAATTCTTGGGTCCTTGGAGTGCTTGTGTCTGCTCACCTGATCTAAAACAGCTTGAATTCTTGGGTCCTTGGAGTGCTTGTGTCTGCTCACCTGATCTAAAACAGCACCCCTAGCTCTTTGCTGTAACGCCACAATCCACCTTCTCAGTGTAGCTATCACTGAGGAGAGAATGTGGCTTTGGTTTCATTTACTGCTATAGTATGGGTATGAAATGTCGCTAAGGCTCATGTGTTGAAGACCTGGTCACCAACTGTGGAGTTACTGGGGGGTGATAGTATCGTTTAGAGGTGAGAACAGTGAGGGAAGTCAAGTCACAGAAGGATGCCCTCGATGGGGAGACTAAAAGCTCAACCCCTCTTCTCTCCCTTTGCTTCCAGGCTCTAATGTGTAGGCAGCTTGCTCTAGTATGTATTCCCTGTCACCTCGTGCTGCTTTACCACAGGCCCCAATGTAACCAGGCCAAGGGACTATGAACTAAACGCCTCCAAACCATAAGCCGAGACAGACCTTTACTCCATGTAAGTTGATTATTTTAGGTAGTGACCAGTGATGGAAAGCTAAGAAATATATTTATTCTTAACTGCCATACCCACCTACTGCTATGGTTCTTTCCATTAAAAAAAAAAAAAAGAATTACTAAGTGCTCATTCCAGAATGGAGACTCAATATCTGCTAAATGTCTGAAGTTTGAATTACTTGTAACCAATTTATGTGACTTCAAGGTATAAGAATCCTGACCCTGAACAATGACAATAAACTTTTACCTTAATCATCCATCTTCCTGCTGAATAAAAGGTAGCTGAAGAATTTAAAGACAAAGTATTAGACTCTCAGCTCAAAGCAATAATTCACCTTGGGGACTATTCAACTCCACATTTGGGTTGTGCTCCCTCAGCATCTTCATACACTGCTCATATTTTGGAGAAGACTGGTCTATGCCCAAGACACTCAGGTCATAAGAATCAAGTAAAATGAACCGGAATTTAGGGAAAGGTACAAAGTGATAAGCATAATAGTTCTCTGATGGTGTGGTCTCAGGGTGCTGTACGATCTGGTCTTCTAGAAACTTGCTGTTAAGTTTAGAGTTTGCTAAGTAGTCTCTGCTGAAGTTATAGAATTCGTGGTTTCCCCACGAGTGGTGAACTGGAGCTTTAAGCATTTGGAATGTGTTCATGACAAGTTCTAGAGATTTTTCTGATACTTTATACTGTGCATTGAAGCCATCAATGATGTCTCCGAGCTGCAGGACACAACAGGGCATGCTGCTTTCTTTATTCCAGTCTTCAATGGCACCCTGTAAGTGAATAAGACTGTGTCGATAGTACCTCCGCCTGCTTCTCTGATAATTGTATCCATCTTCTAAATCAGCGTATTGAATATCTGCTATAACTCCAAAGGAGAACAGTGGCTCTGAAGCATCAGCCGGGGAACTGGGATCCAGCTTATCAGCCATAGCCTCCCAACAGGCTTCTAAATAAGCTAGGGAGAGGGAAAAGACACCCACGTTAAAATACTGCAGCCTTCCAATGGACAGAAGAAAAAGACAAAACAGGTTAATCCACTAGACAACAAGACAGACGGACAAGTGTGTAGGCTCTATAGGTTAATGTCTTAGCTCTGAAATGTTTCAACTCTCATACTTAAAGAACCTCTCTCACTCAGAAGACTAACCATTTACAAAAAGGCACTACCATACTGACCATCAGAAATTCCAACCATAATGGCCAAATTCAAACCTGGAAACATTTCTTACTTTTCACCTGTTTTAAACATGAGTGACATAAATTCTCTCCCAAGTCAAAACTGTTGGGGATTTGTCTGTTGCTATGTATACAGATGCTAAATTATGAACTCCGAGAGCTGGCTGCCGTCCAACAAGTGCATCCTTACATGTACCAGCCGTTGCTGTGTAAACCTTGCTCCCCACTTTAAAGCTATTAATTACTAAAAGGATAGAGCCTGTGACTGGGCAGTAGAGAGAGAAATGCCGGACCAGAGAACTGAGTGAGGGATCTCAGGAGAGACCATGGGGGGAGGAAGGAGGATGGAGGAAGAAGGTTGCCATGAAGCAGGATGGACCAAGACATGTGGCCAAAAGAAACTCGCCCTGAGGACATACATGGAACAGAGCCAGCCCAGTGAGACTGGAACTGCAAGTAACACAGAGCCTATGGTTTGGATATAGGTTAGAATAGCTCAGAGCCTGCCCAGTCTAGGTGTACAGCTGGTAAATAATCACCAGGTTTTTTTGTCTTTTGTATGGGCTAGCTAGAATAACTATTTCATTTACACAAAACCACACCCATCCCACGGCACCATCACACTCACACGGCCACTCCACTTCCCACAGCAGACCCTGCACTAGGATCTCAGGCAGGCTAAGGCTTTTCTCTTTGTTGATGAGCAGCCTGCAGAAAGAAGTCTTTCCCTTTTAGTATCTGAGGGAAGAAGCTATAATATGAAGGTAGTTTAATGACTAATGTCCCTAGAGGTTCAGGAATTTGGTGTCCCGCTTCCTGTCGGTGGCACTTATGGGTAGGCACAGCCTTGTTGCATTAACTAAGACACTGAGGGAGGGCTTTTAGAGTTTAAAGCCCTGAGCTACTCTCAGTTCACTCTCTGCTTCACATTACTGTTGAATATGTTCTCCCTCGGCTTCCTGTCATGCTATCATGCCTGTCTGATACAGCAGACTTACAGAACCGGGATGAGGGCCTATTGTTGGAAACAGGGCCTCGCTCTATGTACCCCTGGCTATCCTAGTACTCCCTGTGTAGATGAGGTTGGCCTAGAACTCACAGAGATTCACCTGCCTCTGCTTCCCAGAGGTATGTGCTACCTCACCTGGATATAAAAGGTTCTTATTCTGAACTATAAGAACTCTACCTTAAGTTATTTTTTGGTCATTTGTTTTTTTTTTTAAATCACAATAGAAAAATAACTAATATGAAGAAGAACAACTTTTAAATTTAAAAAAGCCCAGTGTAGGGGCTATAGAGATGCCCACAGCGGTTGAAAGCGCTTTCTCCAGGGCACCTGAATCCCCAGCACCCGTGTCAGAAAGCTCATACTGCCTGTAATTCCATCTACAAACACAGGGACCTGATAGCCTCTTTTGGCTTCCTACGGCTCTCAGATGGGCGTGTACTCACACAGAAATATATAAATGAAAAATACAAATGCTCTAACATCATTGTACCCACTGTCCTTTCTATGAGCAGCTGAATTCTAATTTGAACCAGTTCTCCTAATCTTAGAACCAGTCCCCAGATTGTGAGCCAGAACAGGAAACAAAATCTTTTCATCCCACACATAATCTCCACTTAAACTCTAGAAAGTATCTCATTAGGTTATTTATAAACAGAATTTGTAACACTAACAGACCCAAGAATACTAAGGATTATGACAAACATAAAAGGCCAAGATGTTAAATTATCAACTATTTTTACTATGAAAAATAAACCTCTGTAGTTCTATCTGAATTGATCTAAAATCCTCCGACTCCTGGTCACCAACCACCTGCTCTGTCTAGCCAAGTTCCTATTTAAATCTCCAAAGAAATGTGCAATCCCAGTCTAAGCATACTCCTAACAGTGAGGCTCCACCTCCATATTCAACACGGGAGCCAGTTTCCAGCTAGACATGAGGATGGGGGCTCTCCACTCTCTGACGCTGTTGTCACTGGATGGGTCAGTGAGTAAAGGTTGCTGCCTGCCAAACCTGATGACCTGAGTTCAAATTTCTAAGACCCACATGGTGGACACAGTGAACTCCAGCCCCCCAAGCTGTCCTCTGACCTCTACATATGCACTGTGGCACACATGTATCTTGTACACAATTATTTTCCTTAATGTTTTTAAAGAGTGTTTAAATTTGTTCTCTTCTTCCACAGTCTCCACTTGAAAACCCTACCAGACATCGTGTGTAAATACGTGTGATGGGACAGTATTTTCCTAACCTTCCTATGAGCAAAAGATACTCTTACTGGTAAGGTGGAGAACTCAAGATAAAATTACAAGAAAAACAGACTTCATCAAAGTCAGCTGAAAATACTTGATCTAATTAGTTTCCGATATTTGAGATTCCAAGTCCAGCCAAATGGGATTAAAGCAAAAGGCCAGACAGCAAGATCTCTAGTGAGCATCCTCCCCAAAGCTCAAGACAAAACTGTCCCAAGAATACCCTCCAGGCTGTGACACAAGAGCCTGTTCAGATAAACTCAGATCCTTTAGGTGATCTCTTAGAGAAGGTTTAGTCCCAGTGATCTCTCCAGAAAGCAGTTGTTACTTTTGCTCTCTAAACAGTCATTTCCCGTTGATTGTGTAACCACACCCCATTTTCTTTCAGACCAATTTCCCTTGTGAGTTCATGGTTTGTGACATCCCTTTTCTGGCTGACCACCTAGGGGTAGGTATACAGCCCAAGCTGGGTCGATAAACTTCAGCTTAGCAACATTTGTCAGAAGCTCGAGCACGACTGTTGAAGCTACTGCTGAAAACTACAGGGAAGTGACTATGGTAAAACTGTCTTGTCTCCATTTTCTGTCTGTTTAGGCATTCCTCAGTCCAGTCCCCCTCAACAGGCACATCTATCTTGGCAACACAACTGGGACTTTCCATGACCCTGACCATGGTCCAAATGCACTAACCAAAATAATTAATGTTTGTAAAAACTAAAGATAAACTTAAATAACCAATAAAGCTATAAATCAAAATGAATTGTCATGCTGTGGTGTTACTGGAACAACTATGTTTTGCTGAAACAGATGTTGCCAGGTTACCCTGACCCTCATCCAATCTGGATGTAACTGTAGTCTGTGTGGTCTTTTACCTTCAACAATGCTGTATTCCCAAGCTTTTGTTTAAGACTTTTCCTGAGGCACTAGCCCACTTTTGGTCACAGCCAAAAGTTAAAGACTCTAATTTGACCTTATGTGCATGGTGGGCTATAACTTTTTCATCAATCCTATAACACAATCCGAGTTTCTGGGGGGAAATTAGCAGAGATGAATCTAACACAGAAGGAAGCAAATGTGAATGATGAGAGTCCTAGAAACTACCGAATGCCCAAACCCACTGGTCCCTGCAACAGCTACCTCAGTCATTCACTGTAACCTCCCCCCCATCCCCCCGTGAGTCTGCTTTATCAGGCAGGCATGGTGGCACAACAGGAAGCTGAGGGAGAACGTGTTCAACAGCAGTATGAAGCAGAGAGCAAACTGGAAGTAGTGTGGGGCTTTAAACAATGAAAGCCTTAATGTATAATGTAGGCAGAGCAGGGATCTTACTTCCTGAATCTCTCCTCTATCTTCTATGGACCCACCTCCTCTCATCAGCTACTCTGAGTTCTACAGCCATTGCTAAGAGCAGCCTCTCTCCTCCACTAACATGAGCTGACTGGCAGAACAGCAGAGTCTCTGAAGGTGTTCAATTCCCAACAAGTCTTGAGTTAACTCTAACTTTGGAAGAAAAGACTGCCCAGCATGGGGGAACTATACATTCTCTCAGTGTAATTCCTTGCATCCATGGTGCCTTTGCAAGGGCTCTATAGAATCAGGTGTAAAGCCCCAATGCCTAACTGACATCCCCTCACCCCTCATATAGATCCATTTCCTTCTACCAACTTCTGCTTCCTGGTTTTACCAGTAGATCTGAAACCAACAGAAAGCTCAGACTCCAGTGACAATGATGGCATTTGCAAAAATCTCTTATGTCTTCAGAGATTTCTCCTGTTATAAACGCAGATCAATGCCCAGTTCATCCCTAGAGACATCATAGACCCTGCACCTGCTGGTGTGACAGAATGGGAAGAAGGGAATGGGGGATAAGGGATAGGTATAGTCCACACAGCACTAACGAGATCAAGAACACTTTTACTAGGTAACAAGGAATGTGTGAAGGCCTGAGAGTCTCTCTCTTACCCTTAGGAGGGTCTCTGCTCCACCTCACTCTGGCCTGTTATGGGAAAGTTAGTCTAAAAGGACAGACTGGTGTATATTCAGGGACAGATGGGTAGGATCACAATGGGTAAGGCTGGGCAAAGCGAACTAAGTTTGCAGAGAAATTACTCCAGGCTAGTTCCAGGATGAACTGAACTTTATAATTCAGGGAATTAGACACAAAGGAACTTGGAGAAGCCAGCTCTAGTGGGCAGAGGCCAGGAACTCAAATCAATCTCCAGTGGGGAAAGGAAGAATAAGCAACCAATTGATAGGGATATCTCTCTCTCTCTCTCTCTCTCTCTCTCTCTCTCTCTCTCTCTCTCTCTCAGTATTTCACAGTGTTAGTGTTATTAGAGGACTGTGAGGCATGCTTGTGATTGGGCACAGGAGTCTGGTCCTATGATAAAGCGAGCTCGTGATTGGGCACAGGAGTCTGGTCTTATGATGAGGCGAGCATGTGCCAGGAAAGTCACAAAACTTCCAGTTTAGCCTGTCCCACTTAAGCCAGCCTAAACTCACATCCAGCACAGAATTCAGTTAGCCTCATCAACTAATGATAGAATAAACATCAAACGGTACTTTGTGTGCCCTATCACTCTTAAAAGAAGTACCTGAAGAAAACCATCTGATACCTCGGTGGCTTCTGTTAATAATAAAAGTCCCAGACTTATACTATGCAACATGCTACCTCTGCAAGGGCTCTATAAAATCAGGCTTAAAGGTATTACGAGCAATTCACTCAATATTTGATTAAACAATTAAAATTTAGTATTTGATCCAATAGAAAACTGTTGCAGGATATTTGATCATACTGTAAACCACAAGATTGTGTTATTTACTGGAAAAAAATTGTTTTTAGTTGTGGTGTGGCTTAGCCTTACCTCACACCTTTAATTCAAGAGCTTTCTGTGTGAATACCATAATCGGTACTAAATAAAGTCAACCATAGGTCAAGAGGCAGAGCCAGCAACCAGTTGACAGGAAGTGAACATAGGATTATCAAGGAAAAAAACATAGAGAGTAAGAGGGAGTCAGGAGGATGGATACAGAGATGCATTGGAAGGATAAGGGAGGGACATTCAGTTTCAAGGAGGCTGGAGAGTGGGGCATTCCTAGTGGGACAACTGGCTGAGGAGGAAGGTCACCTGAGTGCTTTCTCTGCCTCACTGAGCTAGCAGGCTTTCACCTCAGCATCTGACTCTTGAGTCTTCATTGGTAAAATTAAATGATTGAGATTTTGTTAAAAAAAATAAAAACAATATGAAAAAGTTGTAAGACAATTTAGTAGACAAAGAAAACGAGAGTAGAGCTAATAATAGTAAAATCTCAGGCTGATAGAAATCTAATAGATGGGTTGAATACAACGTCAGACCCAACTTTAATCTGTCACGTGGGTTTGATCATGTACCCTACAGTTGAGTACAGAACAGAGATTTTGCCCAAGCCAGAGACTTGTGGAGACAGAGGCAGCGGGAAAAAACTTTTGCTGGGTCTTCTTCAAGAGGGAAACTGAGTATTGACGGATGTCGATTCAAAAGGCTGAATGGAAATCTAAGACCTCTTCTACCTACTCTCTCAAGAAGCCACACCCATGCCCTTGTGGCTCTCCTTCTTCTAAGCATCTCTTTCTGATGAACTCTCACTCTCACATCTGTAGGATCACGTCATAAACTCCAAATGTGTCATACTGATTCATCCTGAAACTCCTTTCAGCACCCGAGCAGAGGACTCTGCAATGAGTGCCTATGACTGCTGTGTGCAGCAGCATGAGGCTGTGCTCCTGCTCCTGCCCCACTGTGTTGGGAGCAACCTTGCTTATACATTAAAGGCCTAAGTCAGCCATAGGCCTAAGTCAGCCATACATGCCTACTGACACAAAGTCTTGGTCTCTGTGGGAAAGCACTAACCCTAGAGCAGATGGCTATAGATCTTGTAGACAGGTAGCCCTGGTGGAAAGTACCAACCTAGATAAGAACAAATAAGCATAGATCTTGTAGATAGGTAGCTCTGGTGGGAAAGTACCAGCCTAAGATAAAAACAAATAATCATAGATCTTATGGACAGGTAGCTTTGGTGGGAAAGTACTAACTTAGATAAGAATAAATGACCAATAGATCTTATGGACAGGATCATAGTGACCTGTTCTGCCCTGCTTCTTCTGTGAATTCTGTGAACTTTTCACCCAGCCAATATCCTGTTCTGGAAGACATCTGTACTCCCCCTGAGAACACATGCACTCCCCAGAAACAAAGAAGACCCTACATCATGCCCCTCCCCACATCTTGCTTCTATGTGTATATAACCCTCATGTGAAAAAATTAAAATTACAGCTTGATCAGACTCTAGACAAGCCGTCTTTCTTTGTGTACCCCTGTCCCCCCATTCTTTCTTTCAGGTGGTCTCCCGGTCCCACTTCACTGCCCTGTTGGACGAGGCACCACTGGGGCTGCCATCTTACCTGGCAGCTATGAGAGGACAGCCCCTGATATAGCACTGCTTCAAGAGCACCCCATGATAAGATCTCTTATACCTACAAAGCATGAGAAGACCTGAAAACTCTATGCAGACAAGAGAGAAAACGCCTTACCTTCTTAAAAGCAAAGCAAAGCAAAGCAAAGCCTCACTTAAAGACCTATCAGTGGCTGGAGCCTGACTTTCTGTTCTGCTTGGTTTCACTGTTTTTCTTTTAGGCGCTGTTGGTAGAATACATACTCAATGGCTAAAGCTTTACACTATTGCCTTTTTTTTTTTTAATCTACCCAACTATTGAAATCTTTCTTTGAGGCTGAGAAGATGGCTTAGCAGTTAAGTGTGTTTGCTGCTCTCTCATGAAACACGGAGTTTACACCCCAGCACAAATAGTGGGTGGCTCAAAACTACCTGTGACTCCACCTTCAAGGGACCCAAAGCCCTCTTCTGGCATCTGAGGGCAACACACACACACACATGCATGTGCGTACACACACACAAAATAAATCTGAAAAAAAAAATCCATAGGCTGGACCAATGACTCAAAAATTAAGAGTGTTCTTGCAAAAGATCTGAGTTCAGTTCCCATCACCCATCCCAGGTGGCTCACAACTCCAGGGGATCCATCACCTCTGGCTTCCGTGGGGACCTGTATTCTTGTGTACATGCACAATTTAAAGCATTTTATGTTTTGTTTTGTTTAAAAAAAAAAACAACATATAATTCTTCTTAGAGGCCGTGCAGTGGTGGTGCACGCCTTTAATTCCAGCACGTGGGAGGCAGAGGCAGGTGCATTTCTGAGTTCAAGGCCAGCCTGGTCTACAGAGTGAGTTCCAGGACAGCCAGGGCTACACAGAGAAACCCTGTCTTGAAAAACCAAAAAATAGAAAAAATAATTCTTAGAGTTGTTCTTTGTATTTTCCCATACTCTCAGTATACAATTAGGTATCTACTTCTTTAAATCCTATATCCAAAAGTTAAGATGAGGACAGTCCCACTTACAAAGGCGAATGGTTCCTGATAGTCTGTTCAATAGCACAAAAAGAACCTGTGCCATCAATAAAGTGCTTAGAATATACATCAGACAACTGGGATATGTGTCCTCAATTCTCCAAGTATACACCACAGATCACTAGCCTCACAGGCCTTAGTTTCCACATGATAAAGAGGCCAGG